AGACCCCATCTGTGTGATGCTATCATGTTGCAATATTTGATGTGGGGTGGTTGAACATGTGATCTCTCCTGTGCACTGCTTGCATTCAGATTCCGCCTCCAGTACCGCCTGGGATGTAGTCCTGCAGGATAATGGCAATGCCTAAATCCAAGGACTGCTGTGAGAACCAGTAAATAGGAGGGCACTCAGCATGGAGCACTTGGCCAGCACCACTCACTGCCAGCCATTACCTGTCTTAAGTCAATGTTTCCCGAAGTGGGTCCCAGCCTAGTTTCATAGGCAATGCCCTAGTATACAAATATACACTTACATAATACAACACAGCTAATGAACATGCATATATAATGCTGCCTGTATAGAGACAGAGGTGTGCAGACAGGATTTAAGTCCAGAGGCCCTGTTTCTTTAGTGCTCATAACCACAACTGTCCACTGCCCTGTGGCTTCATTTCTGTTATACATGAAGGAACCAAAAACGTCATCAAACACTAGTAACCTTCAATAGGAAGAAAGATGCACAGAGACCACTTCTATTGCACATTCTGTTTCATAAGAAAAATACTGATCCCACCCTGTTAAACTGATTTCAAGACCCAAGGCCTGCATTTTGAAAAGTACTATGGCATTGTATGAAGAATTTTTTAGAAAATACCAACGAAGATAAAAAGCTAAATATACCTATTTCACTTCCAAGGCCTTACCATACTATGGGAACTTATGGAGTGTTTCCTAAATTTATTCAAGCCCCCTTCACCTGTGGTGTGGACAGTAATTCGGGAAACATCACGCTAAAGGCGTTAATACCTTTAAGGCAGGGACCATGTTAGAGTAATTTTAACCTGTATCGTAACTAGTATATCAAACACATTTGACAAATTTCTAAATAACTGAGGCAGAGTCCCTTCCAGGGGAGGGGAACCTCCTGGACCAGAACTGTGCCCTGGAGAGGCATCTGAGCTCCCCCACTGGGTGACAAGGGTCACCTGCCCAAGAAACACACGAGGTAGAGTCCTGTGAAACAGTCTCATTCAACACGTGTCCCTCTACATGGTCAAAATACCGGCCTTCCTCAAAGCAAATTAATTTCAAAATGGAAACCTGGTAGATACTATATCAAATTCCATTTTAATAGCTTTACTAAAAATAATGGCAGGTTACGTTTTAAAATGGATTTGGTAACCCACAGGCTGGGCTGAGCAAGGGGATCTGGGTTTGAGACTCCAGGGAAAGAAACCAGACAAGAAAGGCCCAGGAAAGCAAGGAAAATACCTTCGGCTGTCCCTGAGTCAGAGGTGCCCAGGTGCTCAGCTTTTCACAAGGTCTCTGAGGCTGTCAGCGGATGAGCGGTCTGCTGAGCAACCAGCTACTTCCTTTCTTTCTCCCAATCTCCCCTCCCCACCTTGAAAAATGGAAAAGTACAGAAAGCAACTTTAATAATACGTGATCTCTACAGTGTGTACCAAAGAGCAAATACTGCTCAAGTTCATGAACATGAGGCTTACTTTTCTCTTGTTGCTGACACAAAACACCGGACACTCAAAGTTAAAGGAGGAAGGTTTATTTAGCTCACAGTTGTGAAGGTTTCAGTCCATAATCCTCTGGCTGCAAGGCAAGGTGGCTTGGCATAAAGGCAACAGTTCATGGCAGACAGAAAGTAGAAAAGCAACAAGGGAAATGTAACAGCATCTTTCTGCCACTTTTATCCTATCTAGACTATTGGGATTAAGGCAATGCCAAGCCAATCAGTGTAGTGGTTTAGTAATCACATAACCTTAATCCCAGCATCACACATTCTAGATCCACCCACCTCTGAAAAAGCCACCCATGACCACATGAGTCTTTGGGAGGACATCTAGACCTAAACCGTAACAGGCTAAGGAGCCAAACCACACCAGGGGATGCTTATTTTTGCAGACATGGAAATCAGAAAGGGAAACCCCATGTTTGAAGAGCTGAATTGAATGTCAGCGTAAAGCATCTTCTTCAGAGTAAGTGCTTTCCATAGAACAGGATAACTGAGTCAAATCTCAGTTCCCACTATTGTCAATGCCATTTTCTATTTCCTTCTAATTAAGGGATAATTGCCATCTAGTGCTGCAGGAAATGGGTGGAGGGAATTTAGAGTGGCATTGTGCAGTAGGATAGACACGAACCCCATGTGGCCATTTAAATTAATTAAAGCTCCATAAAATTTAAAATTCAGTTCCTCAGTTGCACCAGCCATGTTTCAAGTGTTCAGTAGCCCCATGTGATACATGACTATGGTAACAGATTATAGGACATTGTCATCACTGCAGAAAATTCTGTTGGACAGCACTGATCTATTATAGATGCTAAAAAGGAAATTGTTCATTTCTCACTTGGTAAAGGAGCTTCAAGCCCTACCTACCAGACTCTCCTTGACTTGGGGCAGTGTGAGAGTGAATTTGGAGGTAATTAGCAAAAACTCCATTATCATCTCAAAATAGCATTTCAACTGCCTGTCTAAAAATCTCTTGAAAATCTCTTGAAATCTCCACAAGTCCTTTTTAAAAGTCCAAATGTATCAGGAAATGATGTCTGGTGATAACTTGCTAACATTCCAATCATTTATGAGCTAGACTGAAAACGATTAGAACAATAACTGAGAAAAAAATTATAAAGATATATGACCCTATAGGCTCTGGAAAAAAAGTTTAGAGATAAGTAGGGGCACACTTTTGCTTTATCCTTAAGATAGGAAAAGACTTGTTACACACCTTGGTCTAGTCTCTCTGTGAACTTTTATGAATTCACAGCCAGATGCGGTAACACGTAGGCTTGTAGCATGTTTGAGGGATTTAGCACAAATCTCATTCGGGCCTCGAAAGAACCTAATTACAGCTGTAGTACTAATTTTAAGTGCTGTCGATTTTTCTCAGGAAGGGGAAGACTGCCAGGTAGCACATTATCTTGTCAGTGTTTGTCTTGCTTAATTGGTTACTGAAGTGATCCCAAAAGGCCCGACTGCAGGACACCAAATGGCTAAGATTGCAGGGGCCAAGGGGCCTTTCCTTTCCCTGACTCCAGGTTGCCTTGCCACTCCGGCCCCTGTACTGCAGCGGTGTGGGCCACCAGAGAAACAAAGCATAGAGCAGTGTCTTCCCTCTCAACAATCACAAGGCTGGCCACCTGACACAAAAATAACCCTACAAGGTTGTCATACACATGGCATTGGTAGCTCTGTAACAAAGCTAAATACAGGGCATTATAATGCTCATGCCCAAAAATTAAATCCACAGAGCAAATAATCTCCCTCCCAAAGCAATTTATAGAAGGGATCTCATGAGAAATACATAAACTAAGCAACTGCTATCAAGATATTGTAAAGCCAATTTTAAAAATCCAGATTACATTCAGCTAATGGCAGATAATACACAGGCATTTTTCAAACACTTTAATATGCTTGCTCAATGTCATAACATCGGTCAGTTTTCATTATTGTTAGCAAAACTTCACTCTTTTATTTATCATGTCCAGTTTGTTAGCTTCCAACTTGGGGTGCTTGCAAAACATTTATTTAAAAATGTATAAATAAAGGACACATCATTTAAGTTTCCATGTTTATGCCTCGAAGATTAAACTCACATTTCTAGTTCATTATGAGATGACAGCTATAGTTAATCTGGGAAATAGTGTCTCCAAGAGACAGGCAAGAAAAAGTTTAGTATTTAAAACATGAGAGCTGAAACTGTACAATTCTTTGATCTGCAAATATCACATATATGAACCCAACAATTTTTCTTGAAATAGAAAACTTTCTAAGTAGGTCAGCTTATTAACTGCTGCTGTGGAATTTATACATCCACATTTGCCTACCCTTTGAACTGCAGCCCGGAAAAGAGTTACGGTCCTGCATTATTAAAATCTGTCTTCGATTCAAACAGAGAATGGAAGAAGTAGAAACTAATATTGCCCTTTAGTTAGAACATTGTAACAGATCCAAGAGCTGTTTTGTTCTGTGCTGGTTCTAACAGGACCACACATTAGGAAGTCAGAAAGAGACCCTCGGCTTCTACCTGGACTATGCTGTCACAATCGTGGCCAGGACAAACCTGAGCAGGGCAGTGTTCGAGATATAATAAAATGATGTAGGGAAGAGGGAGGACGGAGAAGAAAGAGTAGGGCAAAAAAGCGCATGCATTTTAAAATGTGGAAACCCTTTTTCCCTTCCATTTATTTAAGGAGGGTAAAACCACTAAACAAGAACTGTTTCCATCACCAAATCCTATCACAGTTGTCACCGAAGAGAGGACCCGAGCCCTCGGTACCCATTGCCGTGGCCTCAGGAGCGCCAGAGCCCCGTTCCGAGCGCCCCGGAGAGAGCGGCTCAGTGTACGGACCCGGGAGCAAGTTGCGCCTCCTTCCAGACGCCCGTCAAGCCCCAGCGGGCGCGGAGCGGCCGGGGACCAGGAGGTCTCGTCTCCCCGCAGCAGAGGGCTGGGCGGCCGGCGGGGACACCTGTCACGGGGCGGCGCGGCAATGCGGTGGCGGCGGGGACCGAGCTCCAGGGCGCGCGAGGGGCTGGGGCTGAGGCTCGGCGGCGGCGACGCGCTTGGGAGCTCGAGCCCGAGAGCCTGGGGACCCGGGGACCCGGGGACTTCGGGGACCTGAAGACCTGGGGCAGGGCCGGAGCCAAGGGGTGGGGGTGCCCCGCAGTCCCGCGCCCCGTCCCACTCCGGGCAGGAAGCCCCTTGGCTGCCCGGCGGCCTGGGCGGAGGAGCGGGGAGAGAAGGGGGCGAGAAGGGAGGAGGAGACAAGCGGAGGGGGAGGGGGAAAGGGGCGACAGGGGCGCCGCGCCTACCTGCTCGGCGTGGGCCCGCGGTCGCCTGGTGGGGCCGGGACCGGCGGTGGCAGCGGCGGCGCGGGAGTCGCTTCCTCCAGGAAGGGGTGGGACCCACCGCCCGTCCGCCCCCGCCCCACCCCGGGGTCCCCACCGCTCGAGCACAGCCCCCCCGCGCCCCGCCCGGGGCCCGTAATCACCCGGGCCGGAGCCGCCGTGCAAGCGAGGGCCGCTGGCTTCCCAGCCCGGCGGACGCGCTCCCAGCGCTGCTGGCCTCCAGGGGCGGGACGGGATCCGGATCCTCCGCAGGGGGTTGCTCGGTGCTGTTCCGCGATGACCTCGGGGCCGGCTCGCCTCTGCCGCACACCCCCGGGGCTCGCACAAAGCAGCTGGAACTCAGTCCCACGCCCGTGCCCGGCGCCAGGTTGGCAAACGCGGGACCCTGGCGTGAGCGCGGCGACCAGGCCGCCTCCCCGCTCGCGCCTGCTGGCTCGGCTCCGCCGCCTGGGTCTCGTCTCGAGTCCTATAAACCAGTATCTATTGGCCCACCCCAGGACCCGGTCTCCCGGGACACCAAGGCAGTGACCTCTACAGCGTCGTGCAGCGAGGGCATTTTTATCACAGCTCCGGGTCAATTTAGGCTCCAGGCGCAGCTTCCTGGCTGCCTTCGTCTGACCACCACATTTGGGGGGCTGCCGAGCCACACCTGTCTTCTTTAAGCTATTGCCACTTTAAAGCACACGTGTGGAAGAGGCCCCTCCAACTCAAGCCAGTCACATTCTCCAACATTCGCATTCAACATTCGCCCGCCCC